ATCTGGTTTCTGTCAGAGTCCAAATCCCCGGGCCTGGGTGGGCCTGCTCTGCCTGCAGCGTGCTCAGAGTTCAAAGGCTCGACAGGGGTGGCCCTGAGACGCTCCAGAGTGCCCGCCGGCCCCTCCCACCGGCTTAGCTGTGCTTTGAACCCGGCTCCGCGGCCCGCTGTGGATTAGAGCGGAGGGCAGTGGACCTTGAGATCCTGCCCCTCAAGGCCTTCCTGGGCCCCAGGCAGCGGCTGCTGCACAAACAACGTGGCCCCCGCCCCCGAGAGGTCACTGCCGGTCAGGCAGACGCAGGTTCTCCGGCGCCCACCCTCCCTGTGCCCCGCCGCCGCCAGCACGCTCACCAGCTGCACGTAGGCCACCTTGTAGTCCGGCTTCTTCACCCTGACGTTCCTGTGGTCCCGCTTCCTGTTGGAACCTGTCGGGGGGAGAAGCGTGACTGCCCCGCTCCAGGCGCCCTCTTTACAGAGACGGGGCCACGCGAGCTGGCATGGCACACCTGAGGGGGCCTGCGAGTCTGCTCGGGGCACGAGCAGAGCCCTCTCTGCTGAAACCCCGACATGGCTGAAACGCTCAGCACTAGGCTCCCGCCGGCTCCTCAGACTGAAGGCCTGTGGGTCCCCGGGGAGGAAGGGGGCCAGGAAGGAGCCGGGAAGGCGAGGAGGGGGGTGAAGTAGTGCTCAGAGGAGCCTGTGGGGCCCAGAACCAGCTCTGCCTGTGAGGAGTGTGACCCCGGGAGCCAGCCGGCACCGTGCCGAGGAGTGGCGGCGAGGGTGTGGTGGGTCAGTGGGGGAAGGTCAGGCGGTGTGACTCCCCCCCACCCCACCCCCCGGCACGCACCATGCTGCACCCTGGTCCGCACGGCGGCCACGGGCACACTGTAGATGCGCTCCAGGTAGTTCTTCACGTCCACCCTGGTCATCCTGGGAGGAAGGACGGGACTTGTGAGCTGGGCTGGCAGGGAGGACGAGGCACGGCCTCCTCGGCCATGTCAGGGAGAAGCCACGGCTGTGGCTGGGCTGCCCCCCCCACCCCGCGGCCAGCAGCGGGCCCCCGCCCCTCACTCCCACCACCACGTTAGTGTGGGGGTGACGGAGGGACCAGGCCCCGGGCCCCTGCTCAGTCCCACGTGGCCCCGTCGGCAGCGGCTGCCCCACCTCGCCCGGCACTGGCAGAGAGGGACTGTCCTTTTCGCCCGAATGCATCTGACACCCGGGCCCCAGCCTCTCCTGCCCCTGCCGGTTCCCACGGGAGCTCAAGCCGAGCCTGGGGTCCCCCCCCGCCCCCCCGGAACAGGCACACCCTGCAGCTGTGGGGACAGGAGCTGCTTGGGGAAGAGCGGTGACAGGACTGGGCGGGCGGGGCAGGAGAGAAGCCCCGGGCTCGCCCCGGCTCTCCAGGGCACAGGGGGCCGGCCAGGACCCCGTCAGTCCTTGCAGAGCCTCGGGGGGCTGCCTGCGGGCCTCCCACGGTCCTGTCCCTGCGGACTCACTCCATGGGGATCCGGAACTGCACGGTGTCCTCGGGCTGGGCCGTGCCGGGCCGCACCAGCTGGATGAAGAAGTTGGTGCGGAAGACGCGGAGCTGCGGGCCGCCCACCTGGTACAGGGGGTACCTGTGCGGGAGAGGCCGGTCCACCGTGCGCCCGAACGCCCCACGCCCGTCTGCCCACCAGATCGACGGCTCTCTGCAGGCCCCGGCCCCGGCCCCGGCGCCTCACGTGGCTCTGCCCAGTGTGGGGCCAGTTCCCCAGCCCCCGCACCAACGGGGGTAGCAGGGCTGCTGAACTCGGAGGCCAGAAAGCGCCCGTGACCACGGAGAACTGGCCCCGGGCCCCGCACGGCAGGCGGGCAGCTTGCTTATTCAGAGTGAGGCTCCCCCAGGCCCGGGCCCCGCACGGCGGCCGCCATCCCGGAGGGGCCCACACATGGCAGGCGGGCCCGTGAGCTGGGCTGGGAGGAGGTGGACGGGGTCAGCCCAGGGGCAGAGGCTCAGCCCCGCAGTGGGGAGGAGAACGCCAGCCCCTCAGAAAGAGTGAAGACGCAGGGTTCAGGGTACGGTGTGTGCAGCTCCCCATCCTGCTCCCCACACGCACACCCCAACCCCAAAGTCCCCCAAGGTGGGCACAGGTGGCTGCGACTCCGACCCACTGCCATCTCCAAACGGGCCCAGGCTCCGGGCCAGACGCGCGGGCGGGGAGCCCCGGGGCAGATCTTGGTGGAAGGTGGGAGCTGGGGGTCTCCCTGACGTCCTCCCCCCCCACACACACCCCCGGGACCATCGGCTGCACCGGGAAGGGGCTCTGTGGGGCTGAATCCCACACCGGCTCTTGCTCCTCGAGTCTGGGAGTGTGAGGCGGCCGGGGGGTCCGAGGGCCTTGTGGGGTGTCCTGAGGGCTGAGGCAGGAGCACTGGGGGCTGCTCCCCCGGGGCCCCTGAACTGGATGGCTGGGTGCCCTCCACCTCCTGCTGCACGGGCTGTGCAGGGCTGGGCACGCAGGGGTGGGAAGCAGCAGGTCTGGGTACGAGGCTGCCTTGTTGTACCCTGGGCTCCTGATGGCAGCTCTGCAGGGGCCGGAGGCTGGACCCCCGGCCACGCAGGCGAGCGGGGACACTGGTTTGGACTCCCCATCTCTCCAGGACCCCAGCCCTAGCTGGGGCCTGTGGGGGCACGCTTCACTGGGGGTGCAGAGAGGCCCCGTGTGAGGGTGGAGGTGGGAAAGAGAGCCTACCGAGGCCCCTGCCCCCAGCTCGGGCTGCTGACCACCCTCCTGCAGGGCCCTGGGCCCCGGCTCCCCCGTGGGGCCCACCCTGGCCTCTGGGCGGCTTCGCCCACCCCTGCCCCCCTGACCGCTCCCCCGTTTTCGCAAGCACCTCGACCCATCCCTGCTCGGCTGCATACAACGGGCTGGCTGCCCGCCAGCAGCCCTCCCGCCCTGTGGCCCCGAGGCTGACTCATCCCATCCCACCCTCTCCCCCACCCCTGGCTCCCCCCTTCCCCCCCGGGCCTCCCCGGCCGGTCCGGCAGCACGTGCGCCAGCGGCCGGGCCGGCTCCTTCCCGCCCGCACGGCCTCTCCCCGGCCCGGCCGCCACGGGGGCTGCTGGGCGCAGAGCGGGGGCGCAGCGGGGATCGCCCCGCACCCCTTATCGCGCCTGCACTTGTTCACGCGCAGGCCCTGGAGCACTCGGGGGGCTGGTGCACTCGGGGGGCTGGAGCACTCGGGGGGCTGGAGCACTGGGGGGGCTGGAGCACTCGGGGGGCTGGAGCACTGGGGGGGCTGGAGCGCTCGGGGGGGGGCTGGAGCACTGGGGGGGCTGGAGCACTGGGGGGGCTGGTGCACTGGGGGGGCTGGTGCACTGGGGGGGCTGGGCCGGCCGGGCCGGGGCAGAGCAGGGCCCGCACCGGGGCCGTGAGGGGGGTGCGGCTGCCGGGCGCACTCGGACACACTCCGCAGACCGCCAGGCCCCGCCGCGGCCGGGCCCGCGCCCCTTGGCCGTGACCCCCACGTCCCCCCGCCCCCCCGCGGGCCGCCCCACTCACAGCACGTTCCGCGCCATCGCCGACTTCCGGTCTGCGGGCAGAGAGGCTCCTGCGCGTGGCCCCGTGGCCTCCGCGCAGCGCCCCCTGGTGTCCGGAGGGCGCGCCCCGCCCCGCGCGGCCGGCACGGGTCCGGAGCTCCCCGCACCTGAGCCGCACCCAGAGAGCCAGGGGTCCCCCCAGCCAGCGCCCTGGGGAGGGGGGGGGGGCTGGTCCTCTCTGCACCCCGCAGCCACCCTCTCCTGTCCCCGGTGGCCTGGTCCTCTCTGCACCCCAAAGCGCCTTACAGACTCTGCAGGGCAGGGGGCCATGGCAGGGAGTGCCCAGCCCGCCAAGGTGGGCATGCCACCCCAGAGAGGGGGGCAGGCGGCTGGGCCTGGCAGCTGCTGCTGGGGGAGCCCCCGGGAGGCCCGGCCTGGGGAGGGGGCTGCAGGCCCCCTCCTGGGTGTGTTTGCTGATGGGAGCGGCCTGAGTGGGGTGACCCAGGATGAAGGCGCAGGCAAGGACGGGGCCCGGGGCCCGGGGCCCGGGGCAGGGTCGGCGGTGACAGCGGGCCCCAGCCTGCCTGGGGTGCGAGCAGGGCAGGGCGGACCCTCTCCCTCCTGGAGGGGACTGTTCTGTGACCCAAGCCGGCTGCGGACCAGAGGGCCCAGGTTCATTTCCAGGTGGAGGGCACAGGCCTCCGTACAGGTTTGGTTCCCGGCCTGTGTGTCGCTCTCTCTCCCCTTCCCCCCTTCCCCTCTCTCTGAAAATCAATGGAAAAATATCCTCGGGTGAGGATTAACAAAACAAAACCAGAAAGAAAAAGAAAAAGGGACCAGCCAGGGGGAAGGGGAGGGGGAGGGCGCTCCGTTTATGAAGTGTGGCTGAGGCCTGCTCCCGCTGGAAGGTGAGATGTTACGTGCGGAGATGTGGCCGGAAATTGTGCTCCGCGTGGTGGGTGGCTGGGAGGGCAGTGGGGGCTGCGGTGCCGGCTGGGGGCTCTGCTGTGCTGCGGACCCCTCAGCACTCAGCCCTTGCCTCCCTGATGAGCTGTCGGCGGAGCCCTCCCCCCGGACTGGGTTTCTGGCACAGAGAGGGTCCCTCAGTTTAACTGCCCTCACCTCCTCCTCCCCCCACGTCCCCGGGCCGCCCCGGCCTCGCCAGCTCCCCCAGGAGAGAGGTGCCAGCGAAAGCAGGGCTCTGGCTACATGTGGCGCTCACAACCACCCATACCTGCCCTCCTGAGGGGGGCTCCCTGGGTTTCTGGCCCCAGGGGCTCCGGCAGGAAACCAGCCAGCAGGACCTGGGTCCTGAAACCCCTTACCGTGGTGGCAGTCTTTTTTTATTTTTTAAAAATATATATTTTATTGATTCTTCACAGAAAGGAAGGGAGAGGGATAGAGAGTTAGAAACATCGATTAGAGAGAATCATCCATCTGCTGCCTCCTGCACACCCCCCACTGGGCTTGTGCCCGAAACCAAGGAAGGTACATGCCCTTGACTGGAATCGAACCCGGGACCTTTCAGTCGTAGGCCGACGCTCTATCCAGTGAGCCACACCGGTCAGGGCTGTGGGTGGCAGTCTTGTCTCTACGCCTCTGCTTCCCTCTGGGGCAAGGTTAGGGTCAGGGGATCCTGTGGGTGGCTGGCAAAGGCCGGGCAGCCCTGGCCAGGGTGGCGGGGTGCCCCTCCCCAGCCCCCCATCAGAGTGGCTTTGGGATTCCAAGTGGGCCACGCCCCCGGAGCCGAGGTCACCTGCAGGGACAATGGGTCCACATGGCGGCCATGCTGACGGAAGGAGTGAGTGCCGTCCCTGCTCAGATCAAGGCCCTGCGACCATCCAGCTTTCGGGGCCCGGCTGAGGATGCACGTCTGGCCTCGGAGGGCCTGGCACACAGGGACCCGGAGGTAACCCTGGCACCATGCGTCTGTGCTCACCGGTGTTGGCCCTTCTTTGTGTTCCTGAATCTGTGACTTATCTGTTCATATATCCGGTTCCTTTCCCGCTCTAGTGAGGCGATGCTACGAGCTGAATGGTGTCCCCCCTCCACTGCCGAAGCCCTCACCCCGGGACCTCGGAGTGGGCCTGTGTGTGGAGCTGGGACCTGTAAAGCATGGCTAAGCGGACACGCGGTGGGCCTGATCTCACAGGTCTGGGGTCCTTCTGGGAAGAGGAGGTGAGGACACAGGATGGGACCAGCACAGCACCCACACGCCCAGGCGGGAGGCCTCAGGGGGCCCAGCCTTCAGGACCCACGGTGAGTGTCTGGTTCCCGATGCTGCCCGGGCCCTTGGTGGCAGCCGCTTTGGCAAACCTATTTGGGTTTTTCAGTTTCTTCTGGATTTCCAAGTGTATTCCCGTGTTCCTCCCATGATCCTTGGTCGGTCAAAACTTTTGCTCCGTTGGCCCTCTGGCTCTTAACTGTTCACACCAGCTCCGTGTCGCCCCATGGACGTGCGGCCCCGGCCGGCCCCCCTCTCCCCCACAGCCTGATGGTCCCACGTCCCTCACCCCCGAGGCGCCCGGGGCCTCCGAGGGCCCCTCTCCCTCCCGCCTCCCCCGCTCCCCGCGGGCGCCGTGACCTGGTCGGCCTGCACGGTATGGTCTTCCATAAATGGAAGTACAGTATAGAACGCCCTGGCTGGCTCCCTTCCCCAGCATAGCTATTGTGGGACGCATTCGTGCCTCGTGTGCGCCCGCCCCGCATTCCTCCGGCCGCCACGGTGGGACACACCACAGCCTGTTTATCCATTCCCCGTTGATGGACATCTGGGCCGTTTCCAGCTTTTGGGCGATGAAAAAACAAAGCGGTATTTACATTCATGTGAAAGTCTTTACAAGGACAAACACTTCCTTTTCTCGTGGGTAAATGCTTCGAAGGAACAGGGCTCCGATCACACGGGGGGTTTATGTTTAACTGTTTTTAAGAGAAGGAGACACTGCCAACTGGTTCCTTTCACATTGCTGCTCGAGAGGTGGGGACACGGGTGCTGGGTGGGCCTGCGGGCGCCGCAGTCCTGAGAGCCGGGCATCCTGTGATTTTATGATTTTAGTGCGGCTCCCCCCCCCCCCCCCCCCCAAGACCCAGGGCTCCCACCCTCAGGGTTCACATGCTCACTCGCCCTTCATTTATCTTGTTAATGAGGTATCGCTTCTAATCTTCGGCCCATTTTTTTTAAACCCGGTTGTTTGTTTTCTCATTATGAAGTGTCTGGGCTTTCTGTGCATTTCTTGTTCATTTCCCCCTCTTTTTTTTGAGAGTGCTTTCTGTCTTCTGGTTTGGGCCCTGGAGTCTGAGATTTTCCTTCTCCTGACAGCGTCTTTTAAAGAGCAAAGGGTGTTTTGTAATAATATGAACAATAAAAATTTATTTTAAAAAATAAATAAATAAAGAGCGAAGGCTGAACGTTTCTGAGGCCTCATAACGCACCCGCTTGCTCTTTGGGGGGCTGCGGTCTTGGCCTTGAGTCTGGGGGACCTGGGCCCCGTCCGTCCGTGCTCTCAAAGGGGGTCTCCCGTGTGTCAGTGGTTCTCCCGTGTGTGGGCCCGTGACCCGCTCTGAGTTCACCTCTGGCTGGAGGGCGAGGTCTGATTCCACACCGTGACCCTTACCAGTCCTGCCCGTGGCCATGCCAGCGTCCCAGCGTGGTTCCCCGGATGAGGGATGGCCCCCCCGAACGCGAGGCCTTCCTGGCACCCTGTTCCCAGGCCCTTCCTGGCACCCTGTTGCTCTGAGGGAGAAGCTTGACTCTCACACCGGTGATTTTTTTCGTTGCTCTCGTCCTGTGCTGATTCTTAGAACACCAGCTCTACTTCCTTCTTCTTTCTGGGGCTGCTCAGACAGCGCTGGGTCCCCACCTTTTCGTGGGAACCGTGGGGCTCCGACTGGAAAGCCACTGGGGCTCCGACTGGGGTTGTGCTGAACCTCGAGACTAAGCGGAGGGACCGCTGGCGCCCTGCCCGCCCTGCCCGACTCTCCCAACCCACGCGTCTGTGGCCCCTCCATCGCTCTCCCCAATGCTTTCTACGTATCCACGTGTAGTCTTTCACACCCTCCTGCCGGTTTATCCCTGTTTTGGGTGACACGCTTGGGAAGTGGTGTCGTTGTTTTTTGTTAACCCTCACTGGAGGATATTTCCCCGTTGATCTTTAGAGAGAGGGGAAGACTGAGAGAAACATGGATGTGAGAGAAACACAGGGATTAGTTGCCTCCTACATAAGCCCTGACCAGGGCCTGGGCCAGAGAGGAGCCTGCAACCAAGGTACGGGCCCTTGGCCGGAATCGAACCCGGGACCCCTTGGTCTGTAGGCTGACGCTCTTGGGATCGTTCTTGCAGGCCCCCGTCCCATTGCTCACGCCCACTTTGTAGAAAGACATTGGAGCCCCGTGTGTGTCCTGGGGCCTCGCTAAGCACACTCTGGTCCTGGTGGCTCTTCCCAGAGGCCCCGCCGGGCGTGTGGTCCGGGGTGTTGGTCACGAAAGCCGCGTCCTCGCCGATTCTCACTACCTCTTTCTTGTCTCTTTGCGGGGGGCCAGCACCCCCAGTGCGGAGCCCTGTGGACTCCCTCGCCCCGGCTCACTCTCTCTCCTGGGGATGGGGGGATCCACCTGTGAAGCTGTCTAGGCCTGGAGTTTCTTTGTGGGGACCTTTCTTTTGTTTTTCAGTCCTCATCTGAGGATATTTTTTCCATTGGAAGGGAGGGAGGGAGGGAGGGAGGGAGGGAGAGAGAGAGAGAGAGAGAGAGAGAGAGAGAGAGAGAGAGAGATCCTCCCAAAGAGAGATACATGGATTGGCTGCCTCCTGCACATGCCTCGGCTGGGTCTGGGGATCGAACCCAAATCCCAGGTCTGTGCCCTTGACCAGGAATCAAACCCAAGAGCCCTCAGTGCGTGGGCAGACGTGCTAACCGCTGAGCCACCAGCCAGGGCTGCTGCTTTTCTGTGGGAAGTCCTCCCTGCGCGTCCGAGTCTCTGGTAGCTACGGGTTTGCTCCGGTTCCCCCTTGCTTTCCGTGTGAGCGTCCTTCGGGGGTGCTTTTCGCAAAGCGTGGCCATTCCACCGCCCCGTCCTGCAGACCGGCATAAAGCTGTCCTCACTCTGCCCTCGTGGCTCCTTAGACCTGCCCCACTGGCGGCGAGGGCTCCCGCGCTCCCCAAACCGGCGCCATCTGTCCCCTCTCTCTGCCCCCTTTCCTGGCCAGATGGGTTCGAGGTTTGTCCATGTGTGTCCATACTTCCAGAGTACCAAGTTTGGGTGTTATTTTTATGCATTTATTTTTTAAATGTTTTTCTTTTCTTTAATTTCAGAGAGGAAGGGAGAGGGAGAGAAAGATAGAAACATCCACGATGAGAGAGAGTCATGGATCGGCTGTCCCCTGCATGCCCCTCACAGGGGATCAAGCCTACAACCCGGGCCTGTGCCCGGCCTGGGAATCAAACCCTGCCCTCCTGGTTCCAGGTCAGTGCTCACCCCCTGAGCTATGCTGGCCAGTCCTAGCTTTATTTTTTAAAACTTTTCTATTGTTTCTGTGTTTCCCACTTCATGGCCGTTCTGGTGCTTTCTCAGACTTTAACTTTTCCCCTACACTCCTGGAGGAGAGGGAGCTGGGATCGGGGACGAGGGCCCCTCGCCCCCCTCCCCCGTGCTGGCGGGCGGATTTGGCCCGGGCGCTGCCTCCGTGGCGCTCCCCCGCCCGCACTCCTGGCTCCAGCCCTCCGTGAGGCCCCTTCTTGCTTTCCTTCCCCTCATGGATCATTTAGAAGTGTGTTATTTCGATTCCAAATACTTGAGCGTTTTCCAAGGATCTTTCTGTTATTGATTTATAATTCAATTCCTTATGGTCCAGGAACATAATCCGTGGGACTTGAACCCTCCTCAACTTATTAAGTCTTGTTTTATGGCCCAGAACGCGGTCTGCATCCGTGAGCGTCCGTGTGCACCGGGAAGGAATGTGCTCGCTCGAGTATTCCATGCCTCGGCGGGCGGGCGGGCTGGCAGCCGGGAGGCCCCTCTGTCCCCCTCGGTTTCGGCCTGCACGTCCCATTAACCACTGAGGGGGGGCTGTCTCCCCCTGTAGCTGGGCCCTTGTTCCTCTCTCCTCTCAGGCCTCCATTTTGTCGGCTTCACGTACATTTAGAAGGGGACAACGTGTGTTTTCATGTTTATTTTTGATTTTTTAAAATAAATGTATCTGTACTGATTTCAGAGAGGAAGGGAGAAGGAGAGGGAGAGAGAAAGAAACATCCATGATGAGAAAGAGTCATGGATCGGCTGCCTCCTGCACACCCCACAACGGGACGGAGCCTGCAACCCCGGGCATGTGCCCTTGACTGGGAATCGAACCCTGACCTCCTGTTTCCTAGGCTGATACTCCGCCTCGGAGCCACACCGGCCTGCCTGGCCTGTCTTCATCTGTAAAGTGTGTTCCCGGCACCAGCTGGCCCCTTCTCCGCCGTGGCTGGTCTCCGAGAGTGGGCTGGGCCGCCGGGCTCTGCTGCCCTGGGAGCCCCCACCATGCTCTCCTCTTGCGTCCTCCGTCCCACGGGCGCCCCTTGTCTGGCCTCCCTGCACCTCCGTGCTCTCTCGTCAGCCCGGGGGTCCAGGGGGCTCCCCCTGCCCGCCCCGCGGCCTGGACACTCCCCGGGAAGCATGCTGGGCACTGAGGGGCACGCCCCGACCCTCCCTGCCTCCCCACGACCCCGCTGCTCGCTGCCTAATGGCCTGTGTGGTGTCACCGGGGCCACTTGCCGGCTGCTCGGTGGGGTGTGGCGGGCGGGAGGATGAAGGCGCCCGTGACCCCCTCGTCTCGCGGCGATGAGCACCGTTTGAAGTGCTGCAGCCGGACGTTGGAAGCGGAGAGATTTACAGGGCTCCCTGTGCTCTTCCACGGCCGAGAGCCGGAGAGCCAGTTGCCCCCGCCTCCTCTTCCCCGGCTTCATTCTCTCCAGCACGTGGTGGTGTGTGCTGCGGAGGGGGACACGCTTTTGCCTTTGTCCTCCACACGCATGTGATGGCCGCAGCCGCCTTTGGTAACCCACCCACCACCACCCCGTCCTCGATGGAGACACCCCGGCTTCCCGCACCCTGTGACCACCCAGTGAGCACTGGGGAGAAGCTGTGCAGCCGCCAAAAGCAGAGGTGCTGGGCTGTGAGTCCCGGCCGGTAGCAGCGTCCACGGGGCAGTGGCTGCGAGGCCCCGTGTCCCTGTGTCCTCCACTCTGCACCCCCGTTGACTGCATGTCCCTGTGTCCCCCACTCTGCGCCCTGTTGGCTACGTGTCACTGTGGCACCCACGCTGCACCCCCGTTGGCTGTGTGGCCCAGTATCACCACTCTGCACCCCTATTGTCTGCGTTTTCCCGTGTCCCTGTGGCACCCACTCTGCGCCCCGTTGGCTACGTGTCCCTATGGCACCCACTCTGCACCCCGTTGGCCCCCTGGAAAGTGGGGACGTGAGGCCATCAGCACCTCGGGCCGAGGCACAGACGCTCGCCTTTGTGTGCCCTCTTCCTCCCTCACACGGAGCCCGCGCTCCCCGCTTCCTGTCCGCTCTCCCTTCCCAGGCCTTTGACACTCATCCGTCAGCCCCCACCCCGCATGGCCCCAGATACATCCCATCAGGGTCTGTGCAGGGACCTGGCAGCTCCAAACTGGACTTGGGAAGAGCGATTCGTGTAAACTTCCTGCCGGGCAGGATGTGTGCGTCCCCTCCGCGCCCCCCAGCTGTTTATCCATTTCTCATTAGCGCGTCCTGTCCCTCCTCCAGGCCGGCCTCCGGGGGCCGCTCCCCTCTTCCTGCACCCGGCCCTGGCCTTTGTTTGGGAATGGAGAGTGTGTCACCCACTTTATCTCGCGCGCCCGGCAGGGAGGCCGTGCGATAGGGACGTGAAGTATGTGCCCGAGTCTGGCGGCCTTCCTGGGGCCCCTCGTCATTCTGCGGCCCTTCCGCCGGCTCCAGCGGCCCCCTCCTCCCAGGCCCATTCGCCCGGTTTCCGCTCCACGTCGCCCGCATTGTCTCTGGTTTCCAGCCCCGGCAGGGGGCCCTGATGGCAAAAGCAGGCGTCCTTGCCGGGTTCCTGTCTCAGCCTAGCGCGCCGGCCCCGTCGGGCCACACGGGCAGGTAGCGGAAGCGCCTGGCTGCCGCCTGCCGTCGGTTCTGCAGGTTTTGTGCTCAGAGAGCAGGGTCGACCCTCAGCAGAGGACCTTTCCCATGGTTTACTGCCATGAACGCCGAGAGCGGCTCCAGGAGGGGGAATAAAAATAGCAAGAGACACAGCAGTCCCCAGCCCCAGCCTCCAGCCCCCAGCCCCCAGCCCCCAGTCCCCCAGCCTCCCAGCTCCCCAACCCCCAGTCCCCCAGCCTCCCAGCCCCCCAGCCCCAGTCCCCAGCCCTAGCCCACAGCCCCCAGCCCCCAGCCCACAGCCCCCCAGCCACAGCCCCCCAGCCCACAGCCCCCAGCCCACAGCCCCCCAGCCTCCCAGCCCCCCAACCCCCAGCCCCAGCCCCCCAGCCCCCCAACCCCCAGTCCCCCAGCCTCCCAGCCCCCCAACCCCCAGCCCCAGCCCCCCAGCCCCCCAGCCCCCCAGCCCCCCAGCCCCCCAGCCCCCAGCCCCCCAGCCCCCCAGTCCCCCAGCCCCCCAGCCCCAGCCCCCCAGCCCCCAGCCCCCAGCCCCCAGCCCCCCAGCCCCAGCCCCCCAGCCCACAGCCTCCAGCCCCCCAGCCCCCAGCCCCCCAGCCCCAGCCCCCCAGCCCACAGCCCCCAGCCCCCAGCCCACAGCCCCCCAGCCCCAGCCCCCCAGCCCACAGCCCCCAGCCCACAGCCCCCCAGCCCCCCAGCCCCAGCCCCCCAGCCCCCAGCCCCCAGCCCTGGGTCTAAGATCACAGTGGGTGCCCCCTGCTCCCCAGCCGCCAGAGGGGCCCATTGTCTGAGACGTGTGCTCCTCACATCCAGCACATAGCTCGCTGTCAGGCTGAGAGATGGCGTGTCGGTCTTCAAACAGCCAGGGTTCACTTTTGTATCCTCCACCATCTCTGTTCCAGGCGCCCGGCCCCCCGGCCAGCACACCCCCCGGGTCCCCCCTCCCCCAGTCTATGGGATGCCCCCATGCCCCTGGGCCCAGCAGCTCAGGTCGCAGAGAAGAGTGTTTTCCTGCCCATGGGTGGCTTTTGTGTTACGTTTTGTGTGTGTTTTCTTGTTCCACAGCTCCGGCCGGGACTCGGTGAGGATGAGTGGAGTTGGCCGTTCAGAAACGTGCCTCATGGGGGTCACTCCTGTCTGAAGTGGATAAATCTGAAGAAGCAGCGGCTCCGGGAGAATCTCGCCAGGCCAGCCGGCGTGGCTCAGGGCTTGAGCATCGGCCTAGGAACCAAGAGGTCGGGGTTCGATTCCCGGCCAGGGCACAGGCCCAGGCTGTGGCCTGGATCCCCAGTTTGGGGCGTGCAGGAGGCAGCCGCTCCATGATTCGCTCTTGTCATAGTTGTTTCTCCCTCCCTCTCCCTTCCTCTCTGACATCAATAAAAATGTATTTTTAAAAAAACATTAACAAAAAAGGACTCTGAGACCCTAGTGATATTGGCCTTGGTGAGCCGGCACTGATGTCTGGGAGGGAAACCTGCCCCCCGGAGGGGGTGGGGCTGGCAGCCTGCTGCCTGAAGGCACAGGCACTGAGCTCAGGGAGGGCTGGACACACACCTGAGGACCCTGTGTCCTGCCCCAGAACTGCCCCCCACACACACCCCTTCATGTTCAGGGGCCCGTGGCGGGTCAGGGGGTGCCCTCCGCCATGACGGGTGTTGCTCAGTGGTGCCTGCCTGTCCACGGGCCCTGAAGGCACTGTGTGACTGCACCGGTCTGTGCCTCTTCTGCAGATCCGCCAGTCGCGTGCCTGCGATGGTTGGAGCGTCCCGAGGACCCAGCCGGGGGGGTTCGAGGTTCCTCCCTGACATGACTGTGAAGCGGGAACCGGGGAGCGGACTGTCCTGCCTGACCCCTGGTTTTCAGGGGGATCTGTGAGGGTGAACCCCCGTGAGGGCCCCGCAGGCTTGGGGAGCTGGGTTGGGAATGTTCTTGGCTGTGTTCTGCTTTGTCCCGTTACCCGGCCCCCCTCCCCCAGCCCCCTGGCACCCGGCACCCCAGCCCCAGCCCCTGGCCTCCGGTGTCTTCCACGGACGGACGGCTACGCGGCCCGCTTGCCTATACAGAGCCGTCAGGATGTGATTTTTTAAAAAAGCTCCCGCGCTCTGAGGCGGGGAGAGGCTGAACTGCTGGGTCAGCGGTTTTAAAATGAGATCAGTGTGTGAGCCTCTCCCAGTCCCTCGGAGCCAGGGCGGGGGCCGCTTCTGGGGAAGGCGGCCATTTTATCTCCTTTTCCAGGCGGCTGTCACCACGCATTGTGAGGCGCCTGCGACTCCTCACTCACCCCTGCAGGGCCCCCCGGGGGGGGCCTTTGTCCGAACACTCAGCTGTCCCTTCTGGTTCCGGACTGTAGTGCTGGCTCCTGCAGAGCCCGTTTTAACTTGGTGGGTCTCGTCCACAAATTTTGGGGGTTTTGTTTGGTTTTACCCCATTTCCCTTATTATTTGCCTGCTGTTCCTTTTTACTGATTTATTTTTTAAAATGTATTTTATTGATTTTTCACAGAGAGGAAGGGAGATAGAGAGTTAGAAACATCGATGAGAGAGAAACACATTGACCAGCTGCCTCCTGCACACACACACACACACACACACACACACACACACACTCGGGATGTGCCCACAACCCAGGTACATGCCCTTGACCGGAATCGAAGCCGGGACCCTTCAGTCCGCTGAGCCATACTGATTAGCGCTGCTGCTCCTTTCTAACGTTAGGTGTTGGGCTCATGGTTTGATACTTTGCAGTTGACGTTGAACTTGTTAAAACCGGGCCCTCTCCAGCTGCCTGGCGGAAGCCCCGGCGTTTCCGATCCTTCGGGTCGAAAACGCTTCCTGCTCTTCGTCGGACCCTGGAACTGCCCCGCCGCGGTTTTGCGTCTCTGCACATCCGCCCCCGGCGACCCTCCAGTTCTGCCCGGGCCGCGGAGCGGGTCCCGTGCCCGGGGCCCGCCTGTGAGAGCTCCAGCTTCCTCCCTGTCCTGTCTCTGTGGCACACGCTCCCCGGCGCGGCCCTAGGCCAGTGATGGCCGCCAGGCCCCGTGGCCCGGCCTCCCAGGTGGCTTTGCAGCCCCCTCTGCCCCCAGCCGTCCAGTCCCCCCGGTTCTGCCGTCTCCGGGAAGCTCACAGCACCCTGAGCCCGAGGAGCCCCGGCCAGCCGCCTGCTCCCGGGTGCCGTGCCTGGGGCGCGTCTGCCTGCTGTCAGCCCCGCGCTGCTCAATTGCCTTGTCACACAAGCGGGGGGCACAGGGCCTGGTGGAGTCACGGCCGGGCCTGTCACGTACCACGGGGCCTGTGTTTGTGGCCGGGCCTGTCACATACCACGGGGCCTGTGTCTGCCACGCTGCAGCCGGCTGGCTGGTCACGTAGCACGTCTGCCCTGCGGCGAGCAGCCAGCCGGTGGGGAGGGGGCACGGGCCAGGGCTGGGGTCTGCGTGTGCCTGTGGGGCAGGAGTTACAGGTGTCCGCACACAGGAGGCGGTGTGGGAGGGTATGTGTGTGTGTCGGGGTGCTCACACGTGTGCGGTGCCCTCCGGGGCTCGGTGATGGGGTCCTGCCCGCCCCCCTCGGGGCCTTCCCGGAGGCCGTGCTGAGCGGGAAGCTCTCCGTGAATACCTGGCTGTTAAGGGCTGTGCGTCTTGATCCAATTTCTCTGATTTATATTTTCCATAATTCCGTTGGGTCAGGATTTTCAGATTTATTACACAGGGCGCACTGTGTTCTCTTATAACACAGAAAGAGCCGTCTGTCTGCCGGCCGCTCGCCCCGAAACGTGCCTTTCCGCTGCTTTCCCCTGCTGCGCCCCCCGCCCGGCCCCTCGCTCCCTCAGCCCCCGCGTTTCTGTAAAGCCTCCCACTGTGTGCCGGGCCCCTCCTCCCCAACCCCGCCAACGGCCAACGCAGCCGCCCCAAACCGGTATAGAGCGGCCTAAACCGGCCTCAGAGCCCCCGAACTGGCCTCAGAGCCCTCAAACTAGACTCACTGCTCCCCAAACCGGTATAGAGCAGCCCTAAACCAGCTCAGAGCCCTCAAACCAGACTCACAGCTCCCCAAACCAGCTCAGAGCTCCCCAAACTACCTCAGAGCCCCCCAAACCACCTCAGAGCTCCCCAAACCAGACCCAGAGTGCTCAAACCAGACTCAGACCCCCCCAAAACCAGACTTAGAGCTCCCCAAACCAGCCTCAGGGCTGACCCAGGGAGCCAGGAGCTTCCTGTGGGCCCCACAGACCCACTGAGCATGTGGGGGCTTTCGGGAGCAGAGACAAAGAGTTCCGGGGATGGAAGCTGCTGCAGAGCCAGGGGCTCCCCAGCCCAGCGCCCTGGCAAAGTGTGGCCACAGCCCCGTGGCCTCGGCCGAGCCCTGAGGGGAGGGCTCTCTGTGCTTCTGCCCCTCCGCACCTCCCGTGTCCCCCCAAGAGCCAGCCAGCACACATGTGGTGGAGGGGAGTCTGACAGCTTTATTCACAGACCCCAGGGGAGGAGGGCCGCGAGGACAGGGACACAGGGGATGCTCGGGAGCCAGCCCCCCGCCCCCAGGCCTGGGGACCAGACGCCACCACGGGGGCCGCCCTGGCGGGTGGTCTCTGCCTCGGGGGGCCTCTCCGGCTGCTCTACTTCCAGCGCCCGCCGACCTTGCCCTTGGCCGTGGCCCCGGCCTTCTTGCTGCTGCAAACGGGAAGCAAGTTGGTCTTGAGCGTCGGGGTGTCTAGGACCCCAGCCGACCCCTTCCCCATCGCCAGGCAGCCCCTGGTCCTCACAGCTCTGCCACCGGGCTGCTGCCAGGGTGGGGGGCCTGGCTCGGCCCCTGAAGCCCCTGGCACACATTCCTGGCGCCATCCAAGCAGCGACTCACCTGTGCTGGGCCGGGCCGGGGCTGGGCGGCTTCGTGCAGAGGCAGTTAGAGTGTTAGGAGAGGGGCTGGCACAGCGCTGGGACCCCCCACCTCGGCTCTCATGATGCCCTGACCCCAGCCCTCCCCAGAGCTCCCTGCAGAGGAAAAGACCAGCCAGGTGGCTCCTGGGGCAGCGGGTAGACAGGCCTGGGCTCTGGACTCGGGACCTGGGAGGCCTCTGCCTTGCTCCAGAGTCTCGGTTGCTTGACCCCTGGTTAGAGCCAGACCTGGGGTCAGGCGGTCCCCACCGCTGGGGGGTCCCCAGGGCCTGCCCCTCTGTCTGAGGCACTCTGCATGCCAGCGCACCCGGGGCAAGGTGGGGTGAGGACCAGGGCCTGGGGGCGCCGTATCGGACACCTCTGTGTGGTTCCCGAGGCCGTGCCCTCGTCCCGTCCTGCAGGGAGCAGCCGAGGAGCTCCCACATGCAGGTCCCCGCATACACACCCATGCACATGCACACGCACACGCACACACATGCACATGCGCACACGCACACCCTGCTGAGCAGCCCTCTCTCGGGGGCCTGCGTCAGCCCCAGCCCCACACCACAGAGCCGGGGTGAGGGGTGGGGGGAGGGGGCCTGATCCGGGGAGCAGCCAGGAGGCAGAAAACCCCTTAAACCCTCCAGCTCCACACTGCCTGCACTCTCTGGAGGGTGACCACTCAGGACCCAGAGCCCAGAGCAGCCTGGCTCTCTGGGGCTTCCCGGCACCGTGGCCACAGGGCCCGTGGGCCTGGGGGGCCAATCGTACAGACAGGCTCACTGTCCTGAGGAACCGGGGTCACAGAGCGTCTGGTGACGAGGCCCAGGCCTCCTCCTTCCTGCCCCAGGTCGCCAGGAAGGGACACATGTGCCCGCTGCTGGCCTCCCCCACGTGCTGTCCTCCCTGGCTGGGCAGTGTGCACAGGGGGCTGGGGTTCAGGGTGTGGGCCCCCATGTTAGTGTGAGCGGCCAGTTAGTCCTGTCCCTGCTCTGCCGGAGGCCGGCGGCCCCGGGACTGGCTGGACGCGCCGGGCCCCTGGGCCGTGTGCCTGCGCAGAGCAAGGCGTGGGGCAGGCTACTCACTGCTTCTGGGCCTGGTCGATGCGGCTCCTGAGGTTGGTGATCTGTGAACAACACGGACGACTTACCGCGGCGAGTCCGGACAGGGCACGCGGGCACGGCCACACGCTGCCGCACGCAGGCCTTGGCCTCGGTGCCCACACGGGCCGCACACACGCTCCCTTACTGTGCCTGTGGCTGGAGGACGCCGGCCGTCCATGGCCCTGGGCTCTGACTTACTGCCGCTGGTGCACTGAGGCCGGGCCGGGCCACACAGCAGCTCCGGAGCTGGCACTTACCTTCCTGCCTCGGCAGGATGCGGGCACGGGCATGGCGGGAGGGAGGCTCGCCGACGCAGCCCCTGCCTCTGGTGGCTCCTCGGCCCGGTGGCCCCCTCCTCTGACCGCTCTGGGGCAGGGCACGGCCCGTCTCCGTCTGCCCACAAGGAGGGCAGGCTCGCC